GCCAATATATGTCAGCGAAACACAAGTTGAATAACTAGCTATTTTGCTCGTATAATGCAAATTATATCTGCATTTACTTCACAAATCTTTTTCAATATCTCTTACCACTATTATAATTACTATTTATTACTTAATTATTAATAATAATTATTATTATTGTTATTCGTATCGTGATTCTAATGTTAAACGATTTTTTTGTTTCACAAAATTGATTAGTTCGAACGTTTTGCAAAAATTAGTTCAAAATTATTTTGAAAAACAAGCACTGCAAATGTTTTACTCATATTTGAGCAAAAATATTAAGTAATTGACAAGTGTGACAAAGGCAATAGCATTCATTTATTTTACATTAAAGGTACTTAATTGCAATTTGCAATAAAAATCTTGCTTTAGATAAGTTTTAACAAGACAAAATCGAGTAAACGCAGTAATTTTAGCATCTAGTGCAAGCAAAAATTTGCATACATTAAAATTGTAAAATAGTGTCAGAAAGCAATGTCAATTAAAGAAATGGTACTTTCAAAGTGAGTATGGAAGAAGATTAGGCGTGGCGAGGCTTTTGCTTAAAAAAGTTGTAAACTGAAAGTAGTGAAGGAAAGGTTAAGTGTAGAAGGCCCTTCGAGAGAGTAATACTTAAGGTGACGCTGACATTATCATCAATTCTGCTACAAGCCTTTCTTTGATTACTTTTGCTAGAAAGACTTTTCTTACATTTTCGTCTTTACTAATATAATCACAAACTGAAACTGAAAGTTTAACTTCCAAAACACATTTCTATTAAAACTCCAACACTCATTTCTTTTTCAGCTTTTTAATCTCATTGCAGTTTATATTACTTTTGACATTATTGTTTCTACGCTCGCTCATTTATGTCTTAAAGAAGTTTGATTAAGAAAATAAATTTCATTTGCTATAATTATCAGTTTTAAATTCAAAATATTCGCGTAATGATCTAACGAACTCTTTAATTAACTTTAAACTTCAAATTATTAACTTGCATTCTTGCTTATAATGGAATATAAAAACATTACACTTTTTATTCAACTTTATTATTATTATTAATATTAACATTATTGAAATGAAGTCATAAAAGTAGTGTAAAAGTTTTTAGAACTGATAGAATCTCAAAATAGCAAAGACTATAATTTGCATATGAATGACGATTTCGAACAAGGACAACAGCCGGTCAATCGCATGAATCGGCGATTCACCCTTAATCCCTTACTGTTCGCAAAAGAAGAACGAAAACTGAGACGACAATCGTTGGCACAATTGAAATTGTCTTACTACCCACAAAATGCTCATCGTAAGTTTATTATTCTGTTACAAACTGAGCAAAATACCAGTTGAATTATTGTTTCATTTCTATTAAAAGTTATAAATTAAAGTTGTGGTAGATGAACTGTAATCTATGACAATATCTATAGTGATGCTAAGTAAATTTATTTACTGCTATCAGACCAAAAATAGTATCTCTTAGATTTCATTTTGATTACATTAATTTTTTCATGAAAGTAGATAGTATCAATTTAAAATTTAAAATGAAAACAAATTATTTGTCATAATTTTTTGAAATTATTTGAAAAACACAATATAATTTTGTTCTAAAATTTATCAGAGTTATTCTTTTATTTATTTATTTTTTCTGAAAGTGTTGTGATATAAACTTCACAACAATTTAGAGTTGTCTTAAAAACTTTCAAACAACTGAGATAACAAAAAACAGTGTTTGTTGTGATGGAACTAACAGCGATAATGCTAACAACAAAAGTAGTGCTGGTAATGACAGCTTCAATAAACTTATTAACAATTGACATATCTTAATTAGTAGCCTAACTAATAAATTTGTACATGTCGTGTTATTTAGTTAACGATTCTCAAGGATTCTGAAATTAAATTAAAAACTATTAAAAAAAAACAAGTATTGAATTTCATCAATTATTGCTTGCATTGATATGCAATACGTCAAAATTATTTCAGTAATTTATTTATATTCCTTTAATGAATTCATTCATTTACTTTATGCTAAGCATAAAATGAATTCCATCAAGCCGAGACTTATCTCGTAAATTCTAGCTTTGTCTTCAAGTCTACTTTGCATTTATTTGCAATCTATGAAAGGAATTCTAAGAGCAAACTTCAGGATGGAACCTTTTTATATTATTTATTATTAAATGTTGCATTTTTTGTTCTCTGGAAAGAAGAAGATCTTTTAAGAGCTCTTTCGACCAAATATCGAAAATTTAAACTAATCCCGAACAAATTTTGAATTACATGTCATTTAAGGGAATTGGGATTAACATTACAAAAGCAAGAAAAAAATATTTTTTACAAAATTGATTCATAAATGTTTCTTAGTAATTACACACGAAATTCATTCCAACTTAAGTTGCTTTCTGTACAAGCTTAAGCCTAATCAGTTTGTTGCTATACGCTATGATCCACATTTCGAGTGATTCCATAAAGTTTTAAACTGAGAACGTTTTATTTCCTCTCATTTTTCATCAATTCTTTGGTATTGAACAAACACTTTAACTTTATTTCAATTCTGATCAAAAGCTTAATTTATGTATGAAAAATCAAATCATACAGTTTACTTCTAAGGATATGCAATATTTTTCAATGATAATTATGCAAATTATTTAATTTTTAACAGACTCCGCTGATGCAAATTTGATTGTGTGTAATTTGTACTAAATTTTTCACTTAGAAGAATAATTGTTAATTCTGATGTGTACTGGAGAATTCATTCATTCGTATGTCTTCTTGAATATTACTGCTCAAATTTATGATCTTCTTTTGCACAGTGTAATAAATTACTACGAGCTAGTTTTTATTTATATGAATATTTTCAGATGTATTGGTCGTTTATTTTTGTTTTGGCTACTTTAATTAGAGATGAATTTAATACTGAAACGATAGAATTTAGATAAGTGCAGAGGAGTAAATTATATGATAAAGTAATTGATGGAAAGTGGATTAATTACTAGATAATATATAAAGTTACTGCTATTAGTTACTCTGTGTTGACCCGATTTCTTTAGACTTAAACAAGAGCCAAAATAAATTTTTAATATTAGCTCCGACTATTTTATTAAATAAACTAATGAATGTGACGATCACTTTTCATTCACGTAAAAGTTTTCATTCTCACGTTTTGTTTTTGTGCTTTGCATTGCAAATACAAACAACAACATAAGAGTACTCTGTGAATTACTTAATGATTCTTAACTTGACATTCATATATTATCAAAATTGTAATACTTGAAAGTAACTGAAAAATTTCAAGCGCAATTATTTTAATACAAATAACTTTTATTGAATTTAACCACTTTTCAATCTTACAACAACTCAAATAACGCATTAGGCAAAATTCAAACTTAGAGATGAATTAAAGCTAAGCATTTCAAATTAGTTGACATCAGCTTAATAATCGCTATTATTACAACATATTTTTAGTAATTAAAAATTTTTTACAAATAATTAAGTAAAAAAAATTTGCATGATAATATTAATAATTAGATCGCATAAAATTTGCTTGTACTGCAACAAAGTTGTCTTGGTACTTTAGTGAAGAAGAAAATGATAGACATAATGTGTGCAAAGTCATGCATCAGTAATCAACGACTCCTTCAAAATTAAGCAAAATTTTGTGTTATTTTTGGCAAATTAAGCACAATTTTCATTGATTTTTTTGTTTTCAAAAAATATGAATAAATTTTTACATTTGAAACTTTTTTCAAGCACAAATTATACAAACAATACAAGTAAACCCAATTGCTTAATCTTTTCTTTTGCAAAAAATATAAACTACAAATTTTTTATTCAAAAACTTGCTTCAGTACTGAATTAAGCTGCTACTAAGCTGCACTCATATTTATTAGTAATTAAAAACAAAGAAGAGTCTTCGCTCCACATAAAAGCATTATTTGAAAATGTGAATTTTTTATCACGAGTTTGTTTTAAAATACATAATAACTCGAAAGTAGTATTTACTCGAGATTGAAATTGAAGTGCTATAATTATTATTAGTTATAGTTTAAGTGCTTGACATTTTACTAATAATTTGATTACTATTCCAACAAATATCATCAACATAGTAAGAGTTATAAACTTTTTAATCTCTTTTTTTGTTTTAATAATAAAGTTTTATTCAAATTTCTGTTGCTATTTTGGATTTATTTTTTCATATCAAAAAATGAAAAAGTATGAAAAAAAAAGCACTTAAGTTTTCAGGTGAAAATTGACTGCAAGTATATACACTTTTGACCTTTAATAATGACATTCAGAAGCTATAAATGTTTGTATTGAAGTAATTGCTAAAATGACTCCGCCAGAAGGCACTTAGTCCATACTTCTGACAAAATTCAGTCTTAGAAAAACGAATGACAACGCATTTTAATTATTTAAAACAGTTTTCTAACAACAAAAAGTAATCAACAAAATACATTTCTACTTTCATCTGTTAATCCTTTTTTATCTTGCAGTTTTATTGTGACTCTCGTCGTTAAATTGTTATATTTTTATTCAAATATTTGCTTAGCCTTTTCAATCATTTCATTTTTTACTAATTTTACGCCTCAAACTTTGCAAATTGTGTCAGTTTTGAAAATTTCCAACAGAACAATTATCTGTTTTTTACTTTGCAATTTTAAATGTTTCTCAGAGTAAAAATCAGAAATATCACGAAAATAAAAATACAGTAAAACAAAATTGAAATGAGTTTTTTTCATCCCCTCATTGCTGCACTAATAATATCGATAATAAAAATAGTAAAAATGCTCCGCAAGTTTAGTTTTATTTAAGTATGCTTCATAGTATTAATGTGGGCAAGCAGTAATAGCAGTTAATAATGGTCAGCAATAAATAAAAAATGTTGAAAAGATAGATAGATAATAACGTAATCTTAAGTGTAAAGTAAAGTGGTTTTAAATTTAAAAAAATAAAAGGAATTTTTTTGTTTACTGCAATCGCGAAATGTTGTACAAAATAAATTATTGATGTTTGATTTCACGTTATCAGTGCAAAACTGTTTTACAAGTAAGAGTGAATAAATTGAATAAATAAAATGAATAATTAATTATAAAACCTATTTTATGATAAATATTTTTATCAAGTGATATATGAAATCAAAGGTATACAAATAAATCATTTCAGAGTGTAAATTTAGTTTAACCATAATTGCATGAAAGAATGAATTTGAACACTAAACTGAGATTGAAGATACTATCAGTGCACAATTTATTATCAATCATTCTTACTTTTGTATGTGATGTGCTAAGCAATTGTTCCTTTTTCAGGGCACATTCTTATTTGCAAATTAATTCAAATTCTTACTTAAATTATGTTTTTTTAAGTGATAAATTTGTTCTTTTTTTTATTGTTTCTCATAAATCAATTTTTAATATTAGTCCGATTTTCGTATTTCATGTAATTAATATATTTTAAGTTATTTCAGCGGATACTTACGATTCAGGCGTGGGATTTTGTGGATGGATCGTAATTATGTTCACCTGGATTGTACTCCTTTCCACATTTCCTATATCAGTTTGTTTCTGTCTTAAGGTAAAGTTTAGTTTAATATCCCTAGAAATTAATAAATATATAATAAAAAATAAAATCTTATGGATCAATGATTAATTACTGCTCAACCAATTTAAAAAAAAGTATATTCAAGTAAGAATAGATGGATTGGAGTGTATTCTCCTCTGTAAAGCAAATGTGCTAGGAAAAATTACTTATGTTTCCTTAATAAATTGTGAAGCAAATTGAGTAATTGAAAACTTTAATAGAATTTGAAAAATGATTTGTTAAGATTGTACAAGAATATGAACGAGCAGTGATATTTCGATTAGGAAGGTTAATCGGAGGAGGTGCGAAAGGTCCAGGTCAATATTGAGTTCAGGGCTTTTTATCACTCAGTTATCAGTGCATCACTACTTCCTTCAATTTCATTGAAATTATTACAGTTTTTTGAGTAAATTTAATTTAGCCTTTCTGAAATAATAATTATTTTGTAGTAGTGAGTCTGTATTGCAGGAATATTCTTCGTATTACCATGTATAGAGTCATATGCTAAAGTAGATTTACGCACTGTGTCTTTCAATGTTCCACCCCAGGAGGTTTATCGTTTGTCTACAATTTATAAAGAAGTATTTTAATTGATAAATTGAACTAAATTAATTAATCAATTTATATCATCGATGTGATTTGGTGCATATTTTCAAAAATTCACGGTAATTTTCAGATTTTAACAAAAGATTCAGTAACAGTAAGTGTAGATGCTGTGGTATACTATCGAGTTTGTAATGCTATCATTTCCGTGGCAAACGTGGAAAATGCTCATCATTCTACGAGGTTACTAGCGCAAACAACTCTGCGTAATATGCTGGGAACAAAAAATCTCTCTGAGATTTTGTCTGATCGAGATGCAATCGCATTTTCTATGCAGGTCTTTATTTTTCCACTTTAACAAATATAGTATTCATACGTGAACACAAATATTAAATTATACTTTTAACAATTACTGCAATTTTGTTAACTATTAATTAACAAGTAATAATATATTATCATGCTCTATTATTCATCAGAAGTTTTAAACAAAGTTTGGACACAATCATTAAATTAAATTTTGCTTCAATTTTATATTTAATAAATTTTTTGTGTTAATTTAGTTTGTTTCTAACTGAAAAGTACTGCTTCTCTGAATAGCTGGTATTTTATTTTTTTGCTATCCATTAAATTGTTCAATTGAAGAAGGAAATTTTTTGAATTAAAAATATCAGTCAGTTACACAAGATAAACAAAAAACGACAATAACTGGGAATTCTTATGGAGAAGAATGTGAAAGTTAGAAAAATTCTGCTCAAATTAAAGAAAATTATTTTCAGATACTTCTGGATGATGTTACAGAGAGTTGGGGGATTAAGGTCGAACGAGTGGAAATGTACTTGCAATATTTCTTTAATTTTATTGCTTTTTTATAATCCGTTCTGTGACAAGCATTATTAATTCATAACATTAGTTACTTTGCTCTAGTTTCTATTAAATATTAACAGTTTTCCAAAACAATAAAGGTAATAATAACTGAAGCAATGATTTATTCCTCAAATTTTGCTACTTTATTAAATTTATAAAAGATTTATTAGCTGTTAAAATTGCGATCATCACTCATTCCTAAAGCAATTGAATCCTTTCACAACTTCTAAGGCTTGTCTAATTTATCAGCTTATTTATTCACTAATTTTCTTGAGAATTTGATATTTTAGCAAAGATGTAAGGCTTCCAGTGCAATTACAGCGTGCAATGGCTGCAGAAGCTGAAGCAACCCGCGAAGCAAGGGCAAAGGTTACTTAATTCATAAATGAATTTAAAGTGCTTAGAGCAGATTTTGTCTCAGCATTCATTTTAGAAAGATAACCACTACAAATATTAATTCTGTTACAGTTGTCTATATTACTGTAATTTTGTTAAAGTTAAATAAAACTAATAAATTGCAGGTAATTGCAGCAGAAGGTGAACAATTAGCATCACATTCTCTCTATGAAGCCGCTTTTACAATATCAGATTCACCAGCAGCATTGCAACTTCGATATCTGCAAACGCTAAGCAGCGTTGCGTAAGATTCATCAAATAAGAGATAATTCTCTAACTCGTTTAATTTATTCCCTAATTTAATCAGTCATTTTCAGATTGCAATTAACAGAAGTTTATAGAGGGATAAGCAAAAAATTTTGCAAGTTATTAATTCAAACTTTTGAAAACTTTGCGCATTTTTTTGCTACCAAATTGGCAATATAATTTGATACTTGAAATTAATGACTGTAAAATTCAGAGCTGAGAAGAATTCAACTATCATTTTCCCATTTCCCGTGGAACTTGTTCGACGTTTTATTGGGCAACTCAATGTAAAATCTGCTGGGTGATTATTATACAATCAAGTTCTGTACATAATTTGCGACTAACACGTACATTATTTAATCGCACGATTGTAAAAACATCAATAAAAGTGCTCATTTTTAATTACATGAATGTATATTACTTGAAACTAAATGTAATTTCTTTGGTTGGTTACAGAAAAAGCATTAATGTAATATAATTAGCATAGAAATTAATTCGTTAGCAACAATTTTTTCCGTAAATTTTATTTTTAATGAGAAATATACTTTTTATAGTGATCTTTATTACGGTCTAACAAGACTGCTATCAGACTTCACAATTACAAATATATAATCGAATTATTTTTTAAAGTAGCACAACATTTTTGAGAAGATAAATGCAAAAATTTGAAATGAGAGAGAACTGATCTAATTACTATGTTTTAAGACTGAACAAGAACAAACTTAAAACAATTGTTAGAAGCAAATATGTGCTGAACAACGCATATTTCAGTACTATTAACTTTGATAATTCAAATATTACAAAACTGTCTTAGCAGACCTTATCAATGCAGAAGATCCAAAAAGAAGAATTGTTTTCTAAACAGAGATTCATAAGCTCATTTAAATGTACAACGATTCCAGTCCATGATATCATCGTCATCTACTGATAGTACTCGCATTTATACTACAAAATGAAAAGATTATTGCCTGTTACAGTCTCGATATATACCATTGATAGAATTAACACGCTGTTCTCATACACATTATGCAAATGTCATCTCAATTATGCTTGTTATTGTGAACAAATGTGCTTCAGTTTTATGTAAATTTGTGGAGGGATTTGCTAATTTTTCATTGCATTATGAATATATGAATTTAGCAAAATTTAAATTTCTGCCATAGCATGATTTATTTGTAACAAAATGGCACAAAAATTGTGCGAACTGTTATACTTTATCACTTTTTATTTTTCAAATAATTGCAAAAATGATATTTGTTGTTCCCAAGTAATACCGTGCATTGTCCTAATCCTTCATGCTTCATGCCATATTTTTATTCATGAATTTTATCTTGTTAAAAATGCTAAATAATAAAATAAAAGCATTTTAAATTGTTTGCACCCCGTCAGAAGCTGTAATGTTCAATTTGTCATAAGTTGTGATGCAGACACATTCTAAAAATATAAGCAGAATAAGTGAAAAAAAAGATTAGTCTTGAGCTATGCTAGTAAGATATTTGCATAAGTTCATACTTATCCTTCTAGTCTTTCCTTCTAAAATTTGTGACTGCAAATAATGACAAATTGAACAGTTAAGGAAATATTGAGTAGAAATATTTTTTCACGCATTTTTCACCGTTAAACTTTGTTAGTTGTGCCTTTTGCAACGAATAAATAAATAATTGCATCAGGTATTGTATTTTCAGCTTTTTTTCCATCTAATTTCTTTTAATTACACTCTGTTGATGAGATAGTTCTGTGTTCGTCTTTCTGTAATTGTGGTAGTCGTTCGCGTCAGTAACAGAATGCGTCAATGTAATACAGTTTGTTTTGTTTTCCCACTTTCAAGCAACTCACTGCAATCGTTCATGCACTCATTCTACCATCTTTTATCTAATTTGAAAGTCTTCTAACTGTTCATACATATTTAATTACTCACTTACTTGTATTGTAAGATGCATAAATAAAATTGTAGTATTATTGAATAGTTGGACCAGAAGCAATAAAAACTATTCCAATAAATACCGTTGTCATTTTGACAATTATACTTAAATTTTAAGTAATGGATTAAAGTTCGGATCATTTGTTCTAGCATTATGGCATCAAAAAGTTTGGAAATTATTTTGGGAGTAAAAAAGTGAACAAAATAGATAGGTTCATTCAGTTTCAGTCATCGTATAGCACTTTACATGACTTAATTACGCAGCATGCGGATGATAGTTCACGTGGAAACAGAGTACTTTCATGTTCACTTAACCGTTTATTATAAATATGTAGTAAGTCTTTAATATTTTTATAAATATATAGTAAGTTTAATATTTTCTAGAAATTGCTGCTATGATCAGTTTGCTTGTTTTATAACTTGTACTGATTTAAATAAACGCTGTAAAAAAACTTAATTAATTGAAAAAAATGGAACGGAAGTATTATCAAGGACTAGGCCATTTCATGTTAACTTGGCTCAATTCTAATATTAATTTCAATTAGCAAAATTTTTAAAGTTTTAAAAATTAAATGAAAATAGACAAAACTAAATTACAAATTACTAGCACTTTAATGTATTTCTTCACGTTATTTGAACATTATTATGAACTAATATAATTAGCAGTGACGTTGTTTATATTAGTTCATAATATTGTTCAAAAAATGCTAATATTTAAAGATAAAAGTATTACTTTTTGCGATATGGTTGCCTTGTTTCGATTCATATTTCATCGGATAAAGCAGTTTGAATCAACGAAGAACGTACAGTATTCTAAGATTTTCTCTTCGTATTACTCTTCAAGGAACAATTACTCAGACACCTCTAAAACATCAGGTTATCTTCATTGATGCATTTTGATCATTTTGGTGCAAATATTATAAGTAGTTTCAATATAATATATGTTTAATTTCAAATAAATTTGTTTGATATTAAATATGAATTATTATGCTAAAATTATTCACAACATCTCTCTTTCTGTACTTAAAAAGTGCTTTGATTGTGGGAAAAGTTGGCTGTTTTGTTTTTTCTCCAAAAAAAGTAGGTAATATTTTTTATTTTCTCTTTTATCTACTTTTATTTAAAGAAACATTAATATTTTATGAAAAATGAAAGTTATCTAGTCCAGTGGAGACCTCAGAAATGACGTTTTTAATCATTTTTAGTCTTTATAAATACTTTGTTTTATCATTTTTGATATGAAACTAAAAAATTGCTGGATAAAATTTTACAGACTTCCAATCCCTCAATCATTTACATTGTATTAGTGATTTAATTATTATCGATTAAAATTCTAATCAAACTTTTTTAAAATTATTTGGAAACCAGTTTGCTTGTTTTCTTTTATTAGAGTACAGGTAAATTTTTACTTAGATTATTAAATAATTAATTTTGTATTGTTTTAGTTACTTGTTTACAGATAATCCTTGTAATCGTTCAAAACGATGGATTTTATTGGGTTGCTTTGGTGCCTTAGGTATTTCATCCGGTTTAATTTTGCTGAAAGATAAAACGAACATGGTGCATTCTGATTCGAACATTGATACGAGTAACTGTAAGAGAGATGATCTTCCTACTTATCGGATGCGCGAGGTTAACAAACACGGAAAAGACGCTGAAAGGATTTGGGTTACATATAAATCAGTAATTTTTAATTTTCATTGATCACAGTTCCTTAGCTGAAACTTCCTGTTCTTTCTGAATTTTTTTGAATCATACTTTTTTAATCAAAAAAAGAAGTATATGAAAGCTTCTTCGAATTTAACATGGTACTTCGACTCGATCTGCACTACATGATTAGATAAATTATGTCTAATATTCAGAAACTTCGAAATATTTTTTATTTGCTCACTTTTAAAAATATTATTTAAACCTGAAACCAACTCAAATACCTAAAATAGATTTTTCACTTTCATTGCATCTATGTTTTCGAAATTCACATAAGTTTCAGGGTGTGTATGATATTACTGACTTTGTTGAAAATCATCCAGGTGGTGATAAAATTTTGTTAGCCGCTGGAAATTCTGTCGAACCATACTGGCAAATTTATCAGCAGCATCGTACACCAGAAATTTTGCAAATGCTAGAAGAATTTAGAATTGGTAATTTGAGCAGTGAAGATGTGTTGATTGAAGAGGTTAAGGTAGGTTTTTAATCGATTCTCGCCGATTCTGATAAAAATTTGCTAATGAAAAATTGAAACATTATAGTGGATTTAATTAATCTATAATCAAAAATTAACTAATTTTAAAGCTTGCTAGATGAAGCTATCACAAGAGGTAGTAATCTTCATGCAATGAGATTTCAAGCAACGAAACCATTTATTTTTCAATATGTAATACTGTAAATTTTTTTTTGAGCTACAGTCATAATACTGTTTTTTCACCATAATCATTGATAAATTTCAAGTAGAAAAAATGTGCCAACAATTTGAACATATTTAGGATCAGAATGATATTTATTATAACGATCCAAAGCGGCATCCAGCGTTAATCGTCAATTCTGAAAAGCCATTTAATGCCGAAACTCCCGTGGAATTGATCATGGATAGTTTCTTCACGCCCAATGATTTGTTTTACGTACGAAATCATATGCCAGTTCCTAATGTAAGCTACAATTTCTCTTATCAACTTCCTAAGTTATTCAACTCAGTAGACATTACTAATTACAGACTTTAGTTATTAGTTGATGCATTCTTAGCTTATATTTTAAAATTTCCCGAAAAGCAATCGTACGTTAAACTTAATTTGGCACTTAATATGACTTCGTTACCGAGATCTAGATAATATAATTGATTAGCTCATTAAAACCTGGACTGAAAGTCTGTTTGTGGTTGTTTTTGTTTGTTTCTTTCAATTAAGGCACGAATTTTTGTTTAAGGATCACAATACCAGTCTACCGTGTGCTATATGTTTTTCGTAAACAGATTGATGCAAGAAAACATTTGCTTACAATCGAAGGTGTATCTGTGAAGCATCCTTTGGTTCTGTCAGTGGATGACTTGAAACGTAAGTTTACACGAGTGGCCGTCAATTCTGCTTTGCAGTGCGCTGGTAATAGACGCAGTGAAATGGGTAAAGTAAAAAAAGTAAGACCAATACTTTTTGTCTTATTATTACTTCCTTCATTTTTTTCTCTGAATAACTGATTCTTCAGCATTAATGGTTTAATAGCGAAGTGCCACATATACTTTTTTATTTCCAATGCTCTTTGGAATTATTCACGTAGTGAATAAAATCAATCGTAGCTTTTACTCATTATTAATAAAATTTGTAGTTTTTAAATATAGAGGATTTATTTTCAGGTTCAAGGACTTAACTGGAAGAGTACGGCAATCGGTAACGCAAAGTGGGCTGGCGTACGGTTACGAGTAAGTATACTTTTCCATTTAATTTAAGATCATCTTTAAAGTTCTTTCCAAAAATTGAATGAATTTTTGTTGTGTATTTTTTATCCATTGTTGAAAAACAATTGAATTAAAGTTATGATTTAGGATGTTGTCATAGCAGCAGGTGTATCTCCAACAGATACCCGCATCAAACATGTTATATTACGTGGAGCCGATGCAGATAATGAAGGTAGGATAGACAACGTTTATCATGAATTCTTGTCTCTGTCTGGGTATTCATTGAAATTAAATACCACCTAGCATAAAAATTTTAGTTTCATTTGTACTATTGATAATTAAGTTCTGATGTTTTTTATCATTGGTGAAATCATAAGCAAAAAGTGATCATATTTGGAGGTAATCATTATGAAGCTTCGATATTGTTCGAAAAAGCAATGAAAGATGAAGTCATTATTGCTTACGAAATGAACGGTGAAGATATTCCTAGAGATCATGGGTATCCTATACGGCTGATTGCTCCGGGTAGATTTCACATATGTTTTATGCAAATAATTTTGGTCACGAAAAACTTAGTATTTCTTCCATATTTTGTAAAATCAATATCTTTGACTAATTCTGTTATTTTGAATTATTGTTTAGATAAAGATGGCCTCACGGCTGGGTCAGAAAGCATTTCTTGCTTTAAAGAGAACTTCTTTATACACAGGGAATTTAATTACTCCAAAAATTTGGTTATCTTGATTTAATCTGCATTTTCATTTCTAAGTTATCGTTTTTTTTATGAAATTCACGGACTATGGTTCTTTTTATCAGATGATTCTTAAAAAGTCTTGTTATTTAATACTCACTTGTTGTTCGTAGCTTGTTTAGTAGTTGGTTTCAGCAGCTCTTTTGGTGATGATTTTCAGATTTCCGAATGAAAAGATTAAGTAAATGACTTTGTAAACAGTAATTGGGTCAACACAAATAATTGATTAATTAATCTCATGAAACTATTTTTCAAATCATGAATTATTTGTAGGACTTGTCGGTGCTCGTCAGGTAAAATTTCTATCTGCCATTATTTTGAGTGAAGAGGAAAGTAAATCACATTGGCAAGCGAAGGATTACAGGTAGGTGATCAGATTAGTTATTTGGAACATTGTTCAACTTTTGATTGGAACTGGATTTCCATTTTTTTTAGCTCTTTCAAAATATCGTGCAAAATGCAAGTTTCTCTATGGCGACTGTACTTTGAAGTTTGTGTTAGATGTCTAAATTGTAGGTTATTGTGTGTGTACTCAATTTAAAAGAAATATCTTTTTCAAAGTTGAGTATGCATAATACGCTCTTACTCGGTCAGTGTAGAAAAATGAAGGATATTACGAAGTAAGAATTCTGAACATAAATGGGACTATTAAAATCTATTTTCAGAGGCCTTCCACCATTTATTGATGCACAAAGCCATCAGAATGATTTTCAGTTGCCACCTTCGATTCAAGAATTGCCTGTGCAAAGTGCTTTCTGCTATCCAAATTCACCTATGACTATACCACGCTGTATATATATTTTTTCTAATTTTTCCGAACACTTTTTTTGGAAAATTTTGTCTTAGTAGTATTTTTGCATGAAACAAAAGTTGCTTCATGAAAGAGTTCTCATAGTAGCCAAGGTTCTAATAATTTGAGTGAAAAACTTCTTCTAGCATAAAATAAATTTCTGATTTAAGATTCATGGTATTTGTTGCCTTTAGTATCTGGTCAGTTTGACGTAATGGGCTACGCTTGGAGTGGTGGTGGGCGTGGTATCATACGCGTGGAGGTGTCAGTAGATGGCGGTGAGACTTGGCAAGCTGCTGAGTTGATACAAGATCCGGATCAAGATATTGTATCATTGTGCACTTATTGATTATCGTATTTAGATTCAGTTTCATATTCTGTATCAACTTTTATGATCAAAAACCTATACATAAAAAAGTTTAGCCACCTGCCATGAAATAAAGTAAGAAAAAATATCACGTGATTTGTTCATTTTAAGGATCACATGTGGTCATGGACACTTTTCAAATCAACCGTAAAAATTCCGGACAATGTGAAAAGACTAGATTTGATATGCAAAGCGACCGATCGTTCTTATAATACTCAGCCAGATACAGTTCGAGGAATTTGGAATATTCGTGGTTTTATCAATAATGCTTGGCATCATATCCCCATAGAAATTACGGATGAATGATTGTTCTGATACTGTCCACATTTGATATTTCGTATCGTTCCTGAATTTTATTGGAAAACGAAAGTATCCTATTACTGGATGATTTAATTTCAAAATTTTTTATGGAGAAATTTTGTTTCCAATTTTATATCTTCATTTTAAGTACCATTATGTAATTTGATTTAAGAAATTAATAGTTGCCATTAGTTATTCTTAATTATATCATAAACCTCTTTCAATCTACAATAGTCTATCTACTTTCTTAATTACAGGAATTATCCTTCCAAACGAACTATTAATATTTTGATGCCGGCAGCAATTTAATGTAAATTACGATATTTTGTGATCAATTTTATTCTTTCATTTTATAAAACCCTCTCAAAAAGTTTCTCATGCAATATTCTAAGCTGTTTTTGACTCCAAGTTAATGAAAATATCATCTTGAATTTTTTTCGCATTTGATTATTTTTTCACGAAAACAGAGAGTCCTTTTGTAACATAGCATCTAACATAGTTACAAAGGAGAAACAGAAGCCTGACTTATTGTAGATAGTGACCAACAGTTTTTTTCTCTATCACATACATTAATAAGATGAAGGAATGATTTGTTGTGTATCATACAGGTATATGCTAATTTTACCAACGTAAATTCTATGTGTTGTAGACAGGTTTATACTTCATTTTAGTCCTTATTTTTTTGCATAAATTAGATGATTTTGTAACTATTTATCATGCAAAAACAACAAACAAACTTTTCAAAGAAATGGAGAAATACGCACTAATATAGTTATAGTGATTTTGCTAAATAATTCATTGTTATTTTTTTCGTTGCCTATGAATGGCACGTCATTCACGTCATGTCTGCTTATGCTATTTTCACTCCTTCCGTGTGTGATTATGTTATGTCGACCTAAACTTAAAGAACGTCAGACTTGTGCTTTATCAAGAGCGCCAATTATTGCTGAGAAACGTACGATGGTGAGCAACTATAACATCAAACAACTTTTGTAAAAGCTTGGGGAGAAGTAAGCAGTAGAAATTTGTAGAGTGCGCAAGTTTCATAAATAGTTGAGGCTCATTAGTTATAAAATGAAAGATATAAGACGACTGGTACTAGCGTCAGATTCGAAAGTAATTGTGGATTATTCGAGAATTATACACCAATATAGTTCACTTTATAGTTGCTAAGATAAACTTTTTAATAATAAATACTTGTGAATATTAAATACTCGTTACTAGATTGACTTAACTTTAATGGTACCGGTAAGATAACGTGGAGATTTATAAGTATCATAACTTTAAATAGTTAAGAGTTGACTTGTTGAAGTGTTTTTTTCTTTTTTACATTGAATATTTATTAGAAATTGTAAATAATTATTCTGGATATTATGAAGGCAAATTATGAAACATTTTCGGGTAACAAAAACGAAGTACCGCAGAAGAATTTATCAAAAAAGGTAATAATATGCTTTTCTTTACAAATTTTCAGAAGAATTGCGTAGAATGTATTTTTGTTTGGATTGCTTACTTTTTACTTCTTACATTATTGCGTTATTAATGCAATTACTTAATTTATAAAGGGAAATATCACAAAAAAAGGAATTGTTACGTTGAATAATCCAGCAAAAAAATTGCGCAACGAGAAGGAAATTGGCTGCTCGTTGCTAAATGGAAGCAGAATTGACGGAAGTGAGCAGAGGTTTCTGAATAACTTTTCGAACTTCTAAGATTTTATGCGTACGAATGATTCATTGAAAACTTTACAACGATGCAATTTATTTTTATTTAATATTTCGCTATTTATAGAGGCGAAAATTTTGCGATAATTGGAAGCTTGAATAGTATGAGCATTTCGGAATTTCCTCCTTCACATACTCTAGGAATTGAGCCAATAAATGTTCCTTCTTGTATGTATCCAATTTTGCATAACTTACTTTTGTATTTAAAATAATACTTTCGCATTTTATTTTGCACTTTAAATTTGCAATAAATTTATAGCTTTTCATCATACATCAAAATCTTTCAATGTGTTGTTTAAGAATTGACTGAAAAAACATTTCTTCCAGCAAAAGAAAGGAATCAAACATTAATTGGGGAAAAGCCATGCAGCATATTTTCTAATAATCAGTTTGGTAATCTTCACTTTTAAAAAATAATTTTGCCTTCTTTTAAAAAAATGATATGATGAATTTATTAGTGATATTTTTAATATTTTTTAATTAGTTCTATTTTGTGATTACTTAAAAATTTTTTGTATTGACACACTTTTTGCTGGCATTTTCTTTCCTTTTCAATATTTTAATCACATAAAAATAAATTAGAGAGGATATATCATTAGCTGATAATCCAGAAAATGGCAGCAAAATGTTGCAGAAAGCATTTCATGTTATCTTATAATCAAATTACAAACTTATCAGCAATGTGAATTATTGAATACTGTTACAGATTTACCATTTTCTCATAACTGTTCTCATTTTTATGAATTTTTTTAAAAATTTGCAAGTTATTAGTTTACAGATACGTCATCAGACTACAGTATGATGGAAGAGATGTCATCATTTCTGGATGCTCAAGGACAAATGCAGCGAGCATTACATTTGCCAGACTCGACAGATAGCCTCGCTACAGCGTTCGAGGAATCTGCGTTAACTGCTAAATCTTAGGCTAGCAGTCTTTTATGATGTGATAAACTCTTAGTGAACATTGGTTATTGTAACTTAGAAATTAATTTTGTTTTTAGTTGAAAGAACGTTAGAATTTTTTAATTTACGCGAAAAAAGAAGATTTATTATCAGAATTTTTAACTATAATTTTTCTAGTAATATACTTTTTAAATTATATATTATGGCATAAAATGCAAAATAAAGAGGATTGCATTGCATTCATAGAAGCATTTTTTTGCTTAAAAAAATTTACCGATTTTTTATATTAATTCAAATTTTTAATTCTTCGTTACTACATTTTAATACTGCTTTTCAATTATTTAAATCAAATCCAATGGATTTTTAGTTCAGAGTAATAAGCTTTGTGGATATGCAATTCAGCTGTAAACAATCTTCATATTAATAACAGTACGAAAATGACTGCTGTAGACATCGAAAATCGTACTACATAACAAAAATAGAAAAGTTTTTGAATTTCAAACAAACTGTTCAAAATTTGAATTCTCTTACTACCTTGTGATTCGATTTAGATCGAAAAATTAAATTTTTATTTGTAATATTTTATCATTAAACTTCTCAAACGTGATTTCATTCTTCCTTGTAGATTCTTAATGAAATAAATATGTCTTCTTTATCACGTCAGTCTGATTGATTTGTTAATTTGACGTTTAAACTAGAAAGTGAATATCAAAATGTTCAAATCTAGAATAAAATTTGTAAAAATTCAAGTTCTTATCGCAGATATAAATGCATTTTGATTGAAATTGAGCATTTCAATGTAAATGCGAATGAATACTTTGAAACGAAACATTGTAGAAATACAAATAAATGAATGCATAAATGCTTTGCTCTGAAATTTTTTTGTTCTAAAGAGAATAAAAATGAACAAAATATTTGTCAAGGATACTTCTTTAACCGAATAATAATAATACAATTTTCTTATTATTTAATTACTCGTTGCAAATGTCATCTTAATCAGTTATCACTTTTAAAGATATCCAAATTTTTTTACTATATTTACCGGATTTATGCATATTTATCTTGTCACATTTAGAATTTTTTCTCAAAGTGATGCATAAATCTTATTCTCACAATAAATTTTTGAAAAATAAAAAATAAAAAAATATCATGAATAAATTGGCAGTAATAATTTTATACTGAATAAATGATTTCTCTAAGAAGACATTTTTGTAATATCTACAGTTTATTTTTTAATAACTTATAGAATAAGTTCACAAGATTAAATGAAAAAATCAGTCATAATTACAGTATTTTTTCTTCGTAGTTAAACAAACAATTTGTTTTTTTACTAATTCAAAGTTACTTTTGATTAAAAATATTAGTGTTATTTTGTTGAGGATTTTATTGAAGGAAAGAATCAGCAATTGGAAAGGCATAATATGCTAAAAATAGTTGTAAAAAATGTAGTCTCAGAGGTTAGTTAAGATTTTAAGCACTTTGAGACTAGTAGCAAAATTTGTTTAATAGTTCTGAAACTTAATTATGACTATTTTGAATAATTGAAATTAGTTACAGTAAAAGCCAGCAAATTAAAGAAGTGAAGAACGGTTAAAAATTGATAAAAAATGAAAACTATAAAGTTTTAATCTAGAAAAGATTTGATAAACCTTTCTGAGCATGAACATTTTTTAAAGTGGTGGACATCGGTCAGATTATCGTATTATTACACATATATTCTCTCAAACTTAAGAGATAAGCAATTAATCTCAATAAAGATAACTTAACAACATGCAAAAATGTTAAAAAATCAAAATGTTTTATCACAAATAATTTGTTTAAAAATTGATTCTCAGAGAGACCACTATCAAAAGATCATTTAAAAACTGTAAGGAATAATCTATTTGAAAGCTTTGAAACCAAAAAGTTTGAAATTAGCAGTGATTGTTAAATTTAAAACTTTTATTCATTTTTATTTTCTTCTTCAAAATAGAAGCAAAATTAGAGAAAGAGGATGTTTGCAAAGAAAATATGCAAAGTATTTATGAATTTTTTTGCATAATTATGCTTGGTAGAAAGGATTAAAAAAATTCAATTAAAATATTGCTCAAAATCATAAAATTTTTGGAGCAATCTGAACCAACTTGAATCCTTCTCTTTTTATCCTTTCATTCTTGCTTTTTTTTAAAAAAAGATTAATTTCAGCGCTCAGAAAGCTTTTTTTACTCTTAGCATTCTTTATTTGGATATTTAGCAACCCAATTTCTGCAGAAAAACTTGATATTAGCTGTAATTTATGGAGGAATAATATGAATTAAAAAATTTTATCAAGAATTTCACTGAAAAATTAAAATAAATAATGTATTTTAAACTATTTATTTAAAATATTTCGCAAAAATTCGAAATTGTTACAGTTCAATTCTAATTAAATTCAAAAATTTTTTAGTTAATATATGCATTGCTCTAAATTATCTCATAAATTTACCACCAAAATAATATTGAATATAATTAATTACTTCAATTCATAATTTCACTTTCAATGTAATTTTAAATTTTATGCACGAAATTAAAATATTTTCGCCCTCAGCTTCTTAGCCATGAGCATTTCTGAAAAATCTTTCACAAATATAATTTAAGCTATCAATGAAAACATGATTAATACTGTCGTGATTTTATGCAGTTTTATCAGATAAACTCGAATCATTAATAGTAAACTTTCATGAGAGTGAAATTAATAGATTTCCTCGTTGTACCATGTGTGATTAAGAATTTGAATATCAGAAATTGAATCTGAGATAAAACTAACACAAAAGTAATAATTATATATTGCTAAGCTTTGGCAACAATAAATAATTACTTCGCGCTAAAAACCAAAGATAATTTTTTTCAAAATTTTGCGATCATTTCAATTTGTTTTTATCACAGAGCTTGCCAAGATGTATGATATTACACAGAGAACATATAATTTATGCAAATTTTCAGTCACGCACAGTTTTCACAATACTTGTTATCAAAAGGTTTCTATTACAAAATTTTTGATGCAAAAATATCAAATTACGCTAAAATTTTTTGCATAAAAAAAATAGGACGTTGTGGAGCACAATGCAATATGACATTTACAATTAAATAAAAAAGCCATAAAAGTAATTCGAATTAATAAAAATTTTCTATTGAAAAAAATTTATCAAAAGAATTGTTCGTATAAATTGATCTGATATATCTGTGAAACAAATGAATTTTAAATGTGTGCAGAATTCAAATTTCTTTTTTTAAACAATTCCGCGGTGAAACTCATCAAATTTCTGAATTGAAATGAGGCAAAACTTTTAGTAGATATTTGTTATTAATGAGATCTCATTTGCAGTTTGAATTCAAACATTTTCAACTATAATTTTGATTTAAATAAAAATTGCCAGAACTTTTCTCAGAAATATTTTTTAATTATTATTCAGAAGTTCAAAACATAAAAAACAAATTTATAATAATTGAGATGACAATTTATTTTTTGAATTTTAGAAGTGAAGTAATGATTATTAGCCCTTTATTTATAAGGAATAAAATCTTAGTACTGAAATTTTATAGTATTTTTTACTAAAGCAATATTTTAGAAGTATTTAGTCTTGAACGATTGTGTTTTAAATTTTTCAAACATTTCAGTGAACTTTGGATAAAAACAAAAAATTCAAAATTAGTTAATTTATGTGTGAAAAGCTATTTGCTATAAAAGATTCGATAATATAAAATACTAAATAATGTTTTTATTTTATTTTTGTTGCTATTCCAAAATTAAAAAATAAAAACTGAACGACAAATTATGAAAAAATAAATGTGCGAATGTATTTATTCGAAATAATCTTAAAATCTAGTAAAAATAATAGCAGTTTGAATCAAAATTAAACAAAATTAAAGAAAAAAACTGCTTGTAGCATTTGTACACAAAAGTAAGTATGAATTGAATTGAGTCCTTGTGTGTTCAAAAGATAAATGCAAAAGATTTGAAGAAAAAATAAACTTGAAAGTGCTCAACAAAATGTTCACAATTTTTGTTAACACATTTAAATTTAATCAAAATAATTTTATTGTAAAAAAATACATATTTTGTAGTTTTTTTAAATATAAAAAAAAGCCCAATAATTGAGTTGTAATGAGTCGAAATTATTCTTGAGCTTATCTAATAAATGAATTTAGAAACTTGTCACAACATCAAGAAATCCTTATGAACTTTTTTGTCATTTTATTTTTCGCATTTTTTGCGGTTTATTACTGCTGAAAACAATAGATGACCCAAATTCAGATTCTGTATTTCGCATATAAAAGGTTATCAATTATTTTTTCAAACTTAAAGATTAATTACATTTGTGTAAATTTGTGACATTATATAATTGAAATGGACTCATAGAATATATATCAAATATGTTTTCAAATCTAAAAGTTATATAGCCAATCATTTGAGTAAATTATGGTTTATCTTCATTAAAATATAGCTATTATGTCATATTTTTTAAAAACATAAAATTAATTTTCATAGAAAATAATCACTTTTTATTTTGTTGGGTAATAAGACTTCAGTAAAAGTATCAAATTGTACCAAATAAAAGCTAGCTGGCATAATTTAGAGCAATTTATTGGATCAAATGAAGTTCAAGTTTGTGGAGAACTGTTTTTCAAATAGTAACAAGCCACAAAAGAAGTTACTGTAATAAGTCATACGTTATCACTTTAATTACTAATTAAACAACATTTATAAAAAAAATAGTAAAATTATCAAGCCAGATCACTGCAATCAATTGTATACTTTATTTAAACGCTTCAAATTCAAATTTATTTCATTTCTAATTTTTATGCATTTTCTTCATTTTTTTGCATAACTTCAATGTTTTGACCAAACAGAAAAATTCTTGTGAAAAGATGCACAAATTTAAAAAGTGTTAATTAAATTTTTCGCAAAGTTTTGGTGTAGAAAGTTGTGATAATTTTAACACTTAAATCTTACTGAAAACAGTATTTATAACACAAAATTTTAACACATTGTCATTCTTATA